GCCAAAAATAACACCCAAATTTCTTAAGTTTGTCTTGACGGCAGAGGATAAATGACCAAGTCTTAAACTAATCAGGGGAACCATGCTCTCAGGGGCAAAGATCAGACATTCAGTCTTTTCAGAGCTTAACTGAAGGAAGTTATCTTCTAGCCAGCTGGTGATAGCTGAAAGACACTCTAGTAATTCAGACAGTTTATAGAACTCAGAATCCTTAAAGGAGCAGTACAGCTGAATATCATCTGCATATAGGTGATAAGAGACATTATGAAAAGAATCAAGTATCTGTCCAAGAGGGTGTGTGTACAGCAGAAACAACAGTGGACCCAAAACAGAGCCTTGGGGTACCCCACAGAACAGATCAATAGCTGACATGATTTGGTTTACACTGTAACTTCTGTTAGAAAGGTACGATCTAAACCAGTCTAGAACAGTTCCAGAGATCCCCTCCGAGTCACAAAGTCTGTTAATTAAGGTGTTGTGATCAACAGTGTCAAAAGCTGCAGAAAGATCTAACAATACTAACACTGTGAATTCCCCGTTGTCTGCAGCCATCATGATGTCACTGGAAACATTAAGCAAAGCTGTTTCTGTTGAAGGCTTTTTACAGAAACCAGACTGGAATTTATCAAAACTGTTGTGTAGTTCCAGAAAAGTAGTCAGTTGATCTGCCACAACCTTTTCCAATAATTTAGAGAAAGGGTAATTTAGAAATGGGTCTGTAATTTTTAGGCTGAGTCCAAACTTGTTTTTTTAAGGATAGGTTCAATAACTGCATGTTTGAAAACAGACACAGAGCCAGATGGGATAAATCAATAAAATCTACAATGCATGGGCCAATTTGGTCAAACATTTTGATTAACAAGGTAGTAGGAATGAAATCAGCAGGGCATGAGGTTGGTTTCATGTGTTTCTGAATGAGGCAAATGTCCTGGAAATCTACAGGAGTAACGACAGACCATGATTGAGAGGGAGGGGGTTGGATGGGAAGGAGGGGGGGGGGGGGGGGTAGGAAGTAGATGGGGATGAAAAACTTGCCCTGATATTTCTGATTTTATTCTGAAAGAATGCTAGAAAGTTGTTACTACAGTCAGACCTTGAGTAAACTGGCAAAAGAGGGGCGTGACGAGAACCAATCTGGTTTATGGTGTCAAACAGGACTTCAGAGTTATTTTTGTTTACAGCAATCAGCTGAGCAAAGTAAGTGGCCCTGGAAGTTTTCACCATCTCATTCAGAGATATTATCAGTTCTTTAAAGTGCAGCCTGTGACTTTCTAATCTAGTTGATTTCCAACATCTCTTGGCTCTGCGGCATGTCTTTCTGAGACTGTAAATATTTTGATGAATCCAGGGACTTTTTCCTCTTGCTAGAAAAAGTAACCTGCTTAACAGGAGTTACTTTATCTAAGATACTGCAGGATTGTTTATGCAATGACTGGATGAACAAGCTTGGATCATCACCCCGAACTGAGCTGCTGTCAAATAATCTAGAAAATCCATCCACCGCTTACTGAGTAATGATACGCCTCTTTGATTTTAGGTTGTGAAGGACAGATTCAACATGAAAGAAAATGCAACTGTGGTCACTCACAAGAACCTCTTCAACATGTAATTGATTGATTTTTAGCCCCAAACAGAAAAGAAGATCTAGAGTGTGGCCCATTTTGTGTGTGGGGCCTGAAACGTGCTGCTCTAAGTTAAAAAACTCCACAATAGACATGAACTCCACTGCTGTGCTACAATTATGATCATTAATGTGTAAGTTAAAATCACCAAGGATTAAAACTTTTTCTAGTTTGATCATTGATGATTGAAAATCTGCTAATTCAGAGAGAAAAGGGCCAGCCAGACTGGGAGGTTGGTAGATTAAAATACAGTGAAATACATGTTGTAACCCTGCTTTGATGACCTGACATTCAAAAGTTGTCAAAGGGCCATGTTTCACCAGATTACAGACATGTTTGTCCTTAAACACCACAGCAAGATCTCCACCACGACGTGTCGGGCGTGGTGTGGTAAACACAGAGCAGTTCAAAGATCAATCTCCAGCAAAATGACAAGCTCATCAGACTCCCATTCATCACTGAAAATGAGCAAAGAGGAAAATACGTAAAACAACATTTATGAATCGTGAAAGTTTTGTAACCACTTGTTACAAATCAGTAAATGTATTTTTTTCTCACGGGCTCCCGTAGAAGGAAACATCGCATCTAGAATGGCGTCGCCCAGAGACTTAGACCCACTTCCATGTATTTGAGACCCGATTTTTATGGCTGTGTGTTACAAATTCTCAGTCTCTTCGCTCGGCTGAGCGAGAGCTGTTGGTGACCCCCCCGCTCCAAATACAGATCGAGAGGGATGAGTTGCCTTTGAGTGTTAGGCAGGCGCCATCACTTCTGGTTTTTAAGTCACCTCCAGGCCTTGGGGAGTTTCTAAGAAAATAGCAAAAGGAAGACTCATTTTTATGTGATGGTGTTTCAGCATTAGGTATAACACTGCTTTGATCTTTTAGTTTTTTATTATTTTTATTTAAACTAATTTTTTGGGATTGATCATTTGTTTTACGATTGTTTTACAATTTTTTAAAATCTTTCTTTTAATGGTTCACAACATTGTATTTGTTCTTATTGTGTGTTTTGTAGTTGAGTCCAGCACCTTGTTCTGCCGATGCAGTCGTAGGTGTTTTAAATAAACGAACTGAACAATATTTTTCAACAACTGGGCATCATTTAATTCATTTTCAACAACATTTCAAAAGATATTTCTAGAGATTAAATGTAATAACTACACATTGTCTCTTTAAGAGTAGGTTTTCAATGCACAGAAGAAATCCGGAATCAGGGACGACATTTTGATTTCAGAAGTGGGGGGACACAGCAGGCTTGTGGGCATCTGGGGTGGGGGGTGTTTTGTAAAGACCCCATTTAATGGAGCGTAATATTGTTTTTGGACGGAAAAAAGTGCAGGAGACCAAAACTGTTTTTTGAAAAAGTGGGGGGGACATGCCCCCCCCCCCCCCCCCCAAAAAAAAAAATTACGTCCCAGTCTGGAATCCATTTTTGTGGTTATTAGGAGGTTTTGAGACAATGGACACTGTAATCAAGGAGGATGATAAAACGATACGGTTGAAGGATTTGGAGACTCTGATTGTTTTGCTCTTATTATTGTGCGACTGAGCAAAACAGTGAAGCCAAACATGCAGTTTTAAAATGTCAGTCATTAGTTTGAACACACATCATTGCAGCTAAGAGTTGAATTAAAAGGTCTGAGTGATGCGGTCAGCTCTGAAACCATCTCCTCACTCTGCTGAAGTCCAACCACTGCTGCTCGTTCTAGTGCAATGTAGAAAAAAGGTCTATGGATCTGTAAACTCATCATTAAAATAGGTTTCACTGGTTAAGTTCAAGACTTTCTAAATCTGGCTGATAGCAGCTGTTTTACAACCTCTGGTAAAACACAATATTTATTGTCAGTTAAAAAAAAAGAAAAGAAAGAAAACGAGCTGGAATTTAGGTAAAAGAGTCAAAAAGATGACACATTTGTCACAAACATCCAGCTGTGTTTCTGTTGAGATCTCAGCTATAGATAATGACTTCGCCAGAATGCTTAAATTTATCATGCCAGCAAACAGATTTTGTCCCCGTTTTACATGATTCATCAGCATCAGTCACATTTAAAGCTGCTACAGAAACCTCAAAGCTACATTAAAAAAAATGCAGACTATAGAATTAATGGTTGCTCCACTTCTTACTTTACAAGGCAAGGGGGGAGATAAAAATAATAATTTGTTAAATGAAACTCATTTATTTATTTTCTCGTCTGCAGGGAAAATGATGTTCTGCTTGATGGTGACTACAGGTGATTGTTTGCAGACTTGATCTGTTGTGCATGTTTTTCAGGAAGTGATCTAGTGTGTGCATACACACTTTATGTTGGTGTAAAAATAAAAACAGTGATTTGTCTGTGCTGCCCTAGTTGATGGTGTGCACATCCACAGCCATGAATAATTAGAACTTTAAGATAGTGTACAACACCTAGGTCAACTCCAGTTGTTATATATGTGCTTTATGAATAAATAACGTTGAATAATACCTTTAAATTGGTGGATTCAGCAGAGCAGCAGTAGCAGAAAGCTCTTGGGAGGTGGATGGAGTGTTCCGTTCCCGCTGATGCAGACTCTGAGCCCAATTATATAAAGTAGATTTGTGTCAGAGTGCTATTTCTCAGATGTCCTGCTGGACCCACAGTATTATAGTGTGCAGTGACCCAATATGCTGCTAAACTCTGCTTATACAAGACTCAATGGTGGCATGTTGCTGAAGATGCTGCAGGTCATCGAGAGTGCTTAACAAAGTCAAAAGTCATAGCTGAGGCCTACAAAGGTCAAAACCTCCAGGCATATTTGATAAATCATGTTTGTGAAGTCATACTTAAGATTTTGACATGAATTTTATTCAAAGAGACAGTTGAGATTGATTTAATCTGCAAAAAAGTTTTCAAATGACTAACGTTTCCTCTTTGAATAACCTCCATTTGGAGAAATCAGTTTGCTTCTTGCAGGATTGACAAGCTAGAGGCTCGTCATAACCCAAGGGGGACTGTTAGCAACTCCAGCCTCAAAAACGTCAATGTAGTTCATGCAAAACCTTTGTTATAAATATTTACACAACCTTCAATTTTACATTACAAAATTATTAAAGCAAAAGTGTACGGTTGCCATGGAGCCCCAAGCATAGGAGTCTGCTGTCCAGAGCAGAAACTCCTCAGAAGTGAAAGTAGCTATTGGCTGTTCTGGAAGTTGCTAAATGACAAATGTCATATATGTATTTCAATCGGGTGAAACAATAGTCACAAAAAATGTGTAAAACTGACTCTATTGCAGAGATAGGAATTGTGGCATCAACAAGTCATCTCCATGTCGTGTTTTTGTTCTGTTCAGACACTAAACCTGTCACGGTTGGAGGTGAGTGAAAACACCTGACTCTCATTCTGTTTGAGTGCAGATGGGCGGAACCGGAGAGCAACAAGCCATCTGCTACTCATCATTAGGCTTCTTAAGGAGCAGGGAGACGCACCTCAGCGCTGGAATATTACTCAATCTTGGTAGAGCTACCTGAGTGTCACGAGCCTTTTTATCTTTGACTATTGTCTCCCGAGCTTCGTTCCGAGTAACCTCACCCTGCTTCTCCCTCTCCTTCAGGTCTATCCTCCACTTTCAGAACCTGCCATAAGACACGGATCCACGCCTGTCTCCCGCTCCAGCCTCTTCTGACCAGCCAGCTCTCTGCCGCCTCCGCACCCTCCCCCTCTCAGGACTCCGAGGATTCGCCCTGTCTCGCGCTCCTCCTGCCACTCACCAGCCAACCGGACCCTCCTCTCTCCTCTTCTCTCCTCCCTACCCAGAACGCTGGGCCCCAGGATTTTGGACTATAAAGAACTGAGCTAAGCTCCAAATCGTCACCTACCTTTAACGGTGCTCCTTTAGTTAAGATAATAAATATTATCTGTTTTTTCTAACCCATCCTCTTGACTCTGAAGTTGATTCTGTATGTCTTGGGTCAGATGGTTAACCCCAAACATGACAAAACCAGGTTCATTCATTGTGCTCATTGAAATCACCTGGTTTAGTTCCTGAGCTGAGGAGAAACACGTCATGGAAATGACTTGTTGATCAGAATCAGAATCCGCTTTATTGTCAGTGCCCCAGCACCCCGAAGCACAGAAATTTGACTCCGCAGTACAGCCTGACCAAGGCTACACACACAAAACATGTAGAACAAAACAGATACAGGCAGACCATGAGAGCTAGATAGAAAAGGGTTACAAGAGTAAATGCAGAAAGCCTCAGACAACTTAACTTCTAGGATCATTGAGACACTCAAACCCCTCCACCACGGTAAGGTGGCAGCCCAGGGAGAGGCCATTTCATTTTTAAGTACAAATTCAGGCTGATGAAGATAACTAATGTTTAAGATAAAACTACATCTCAATAGTGCCATTTATAATATTTGATCATATATTGTACCTACCTGTTGAGAAGCAACATGTTTTCTTTAACTAAAGAGTGTTCATGCAGGGTGACCTTTTATTGTGGGCAGTATAAGGCACACCCGTGCACTACTCATGATGTCGGATCAGCATCTTGATGTGGCACACCTGTGAGGTGGGATGGATTATCTCAGCAAAGCAGAAGTGCTCACTATCACACATTTAGACTGATTTGTGAACAATGTTTGAGAGAAATGGTGATATTGTGTATCTGGAATGAATTTTAGATCTTTAAGTCCATCTCATGAAAAATGGAGCAGAAACAAAGGTATTGTGTTTATAATTTTGTTGAGTGTACAATGTCATTCACTTTGAAGTTTCTTCTGGTTTTATACCATTTGTCTTTGTTATAAACTCAGCAGATATTCCCTTTTCCAACGAATCCAAAATTCATTGGCCAAATGTTGGACTCTGCGCCATCATTTTTTAAGATACAAGTCTTCTTTGACAAACTGGCCAGGTGGAGGAAGGATTATTGTTGACTTCATTTTAAGAATGTGATTTGGAGTTAAAGGTTCAGGTGCAGATGGATCATTCAAATTCTCAACGGTAAGTGGTCGGCTACTGACCATTGCCATTGTTTCATAAAACAAAGTTCTTAGAGATGTACTGTCCAGTCTTTGAGCTGAATTTTCAAGAATACTTGTGAGAACACTTCGAATAGTCCTAATCTGTCGTTCCCAGATGCCACCCATGTGACTTGCTGCTGGGGGATTCATTAGGAATTCACATTTTAGAGCCTTGACCCTTTCTTCTTCCATTCCTTTTATGAGTTCTGCAAGCTCCCTTTTTGCACCAATGAAATTGGTTCCTTGTTCACATCGAAGTAGACAGACGTTTCCTCTTATGGCAATAAAGGCTCTTAATGCATTGATGAATGCGTCAGTGGTCATCTCGTCAATCATTTTGATGTGTATGGCTCTTGAACATAGACAGGTGAGTAGAAGTCCATACATTTTAACCTCTTTTTTTCCCTCTTTTACATAGATTGATCCAAAGCAATCCATGCCGGTGTAGGTGAATGGAGGCGTTGTTTCCATTCTGTCTTGAGGTAAGTCACTCATCTTTTGCTCTTCAGTACATCTTCTGCACTTTCGACACTTGGCACATTTAAAGATGTGTGATGATATAATTCCACTGCTTCCTAGGATCCACCATCCATTCACTCTGAGTTCATTTAAGGTCATTCCATGTCCTTGATGATGAACCTTTCCATGAAAGTGCTTGACAAGCAAAGAGGATGTATGCCTGTTCTTAGGAAGTATTACTGGATGTTTTACGTGAGGATGTAATGCTTATTGGCGTCCTCCTACTCTCAAAACTCCATCTTCATCCAAAGTGGGACTTAAGCTTTTCAGCTTGCTGTACTTGATTTTAACCACACCTTCCTTTACTTTTAAGCTTTGTATCTCATATGGAAATGCTTCCCTTTGAACCAGTTTGACAATAGCAATTTATGTGTCTTTTCTTTCCTCCAAGCTTGTACCCTCATTGTGTCATGTTACAGGGTAGGTTTTTGACCCAGACATGAAGAATCACCACAGAACCAGAGGTAAGTAAAAGTTTCTATGTATTTTATTTAAGTGTTTGTGAAGGAGAGAAACATACGGAGATCCAGAGGGTTGAGGAGTTTCGGGGTGTTCTGGAGAGAGAATGGATTTTAGTCTTTGGATGTTAATGCAGAGGATAATCAAAAGGGCAGAGGAGGCTTACGGTCTTCAGGAAGTTGGGAAGCCAAGGAGGGAGGCAGGTCAGGTCTGGCTGAGCGGGAGATCGAGAGACCAAGGCTGGGATCTGAGCACAGGGAGTTGGCTGCAGGTGTGTCCAGGTGAGCAGGTGGGCGGAGGAGAGCTGGTGGTCAGAGGTGAACGAAGTGGCAGAAGGCTTTAGTGAATCCAAAGTTAATGAAGGGTGATGCTCTTTACAGGTGAAATCTGGACGGGTCAGGATAACAGATCAGATAAAACGCAGAGTCAGGATACAAAAAGACAAAAATATATTCTGAGACGAGAAGAGCTAAGGCTGGTAGCTGCTAGAACTACCAAAGACTGAGTATCATCTGGCACTGGTGAGTTGTCACGCTGCTCCTAAAATCCCCTGACCACTGATGGGCTGAACAGCAACAGCTGTGCTCTCCAGGACACGCCCACCTACAAACAGCACTCAGAAGAAAACAAAACCAGTATAGCTCAGCACAAACCATGACACATTGGTTCTTTGTTTCACCCATTTGTGTTCCGTGACTCATCGCTTCAATCTGGCAACAGTTTTCACTACTCTTGACCAGTCAGAGAAATTCTCAAAGCGCTCTAAAAGTGATCTGCTCTCCTTTGCCTTTGTGTTAAACACTGAAGCCCTGCAGAGTTCAGGATCATCATTTTGTACTTCTTTTATCTTGTATTTGGAAACAAGTAGTTCTTTTTGCCAGAGAAATGTTGGTCCTGAGAACCAGTTGGATTTCTTAAGTTCTTTTGCCATCAATCCTTGAGAGGCATGATCTGCTGGGTTATCCTCAGATGGAATGTAGGCCCATTGCTCAGCTTCTGTACTTGACTTGATTCTTTGTATGCGATTGGCGACAAACACTTGGAATCTTCTGGTATTGTTTCTTATGTAACCCAAAACAATTGTGGAGTCTGTCCAGAAGTATTCCTTCAGGTCTTAAATTTCCAGTTCCTTCTGAAGCACGTCACTGACTCGAACTGCAACAACTGCAGCTGAAAGTTCCAGTCTCAGCATTGTTGTAACTTTACTTGGTGAAACTCTGGACTTCCACATTACTAAAGCACAATGGATTTCATTGGATTCGTTGATAGCTCTGAGGTAAGTACATACACCATACAGTGCTTGTATCACAGAAGTGGTGAAGTTCATACCTTTTGATTTTTCCAAAGTTTGAAGGCAAGTGGCATCTTTTAACTTCCATGTCAGCTAGAGTGGGTAATTTTCTGACCCATGACTCCTACCGTGATCTTAAACTTACTGGAAGCTCATCATCCCAGCTGATCTTATCCTTGCACATTTGCTGAAGAATCTGCTTTCCAGAGAGAACAAAAGGTGTTATGAATCCAAATGGATCATACACGGAGGCTACAGTAGAAAGTACACCTCTCCTTGTCAATGGTCTGGGATTTACTTCAACTATAAGCTTAAGAGTGTCATGTGTGATGCACCACCCCACTCCAAGTGCTTTTGTGATGTGCGAATAACTAAATTCTATGTCTCGATTTTTGACAGTGGTGCGTTCCCCTTCTGGGATGCATTACATTATCATTGTTTGAAACAAACTTGTGGAGTCTTAACTTGACAGTGTTACAAAGCTCCCTTGATTCTCTGACAAGTTGAATGGCTTTTGTTCTGTAGGAACACTTACAAGACCATCATCTAAATATAAACTGTTTTCTATGAAGTGTATAGTACTTTCAGAGTACTGACCATTCCCTAGAGTTGCCAGATGTCTCAGGCCAAAGTTGGCACAGCCAGGGGTGGAAACTGCTCCAAGTAGGTGGACCTTCATCCTGTAGGTGGATGGCTTGGTTTTCAAATCACCATTTTCCCACTATAAGAAATGCAGATAATCTTGATCTTCGGCCTTTACATGAACCTGGTGAAACATTCTTTCAATATCACACATTACAGCAATTAGGTCTTTCCGGAATCTGCACAGGACACCCACAAGTTTGTTCGTTTGGTCAGGTCCAGTGAGAAGATGATCACTGAGAGATGTTTCATGAAACTTAGCTGAGCAGTCAAATACTACCCGTATCTTGCCTGGTTTTTGCGGGTGGTAAACTCCATGATGTGGAATATACCAAGCTGGACTGTTATTGATTTCTTCCTCTGGAATCTTTTCAGCATCTCCCCGAACCATCATGTCAGTCAGGAAGTTCACAGTCTTTGTAACAGGTTTCAACCTTTCTTAACTTCCTTTCCAGACACTGTAAGCAATGCATAGTACACATCTTATTGTTTGGCAACCTTGGTCTTTCTTCTCTGAATGGCAATGACATTTCGACATTTCAAGATGTCCATCCTCCTTTTGAATTATATATTTTTTTAAGTTTGTACAAGAATTTCAAGTCATATTGAGATACACAGTCCTCGTCATTAATTTTTCCAGAAAAATCTATCTCAAGAACCTTTATAGTGTCTGAAGGTGTAATTTCTTTAACTTCTGATCTGTTCACATAATGAACTTCAGCTTTAAGATTGAGCAGAGTCAACGTTTGGTTTCTGTTGACGGACAACTATGCGATGACTGATTCCAATTGCATCTCCATACTCTACACAGGGATTGCCATGACCAACAATGCTCCAACCAAGATCTGTGCGTTGTGCAAAAGGCTCATTGTCTTGACCAGGCACAACTTCCCTTGGTAGAAGAGCTTGTGAGCAGTTGTAGCTGATAAGCAGGCCTACCGTACAGTCCTGTAGGGGTGCTTTGTCATATTTCAGGTGCTCTAGGTGGGACCAAGCCTCTGCAGTTTTGTCAGTTGGTATGTGAGTTCTGTTGGCAGGAATTAAATCGCATGTGTAGGCTGGTGGTAAATCGATTATTTTATTTGAGTAGAAACCCCAAACTCGTAAATTATTTACTCGTTGAGACTTTACTGTAGTAGTTTGTGATGTCACTGTAGCAGCTTCAACTTCACTTGTTCCTTTGGTGCCTCCAAAGAGTCAGCTGTGTCGCTTAGCACAAATGTTGTGTCACTTTGAGAATCCAGTAGTGCATAGACAAGCACTTCTGGAAATGGCTGTGAAGCAGAAGAAAGCCAGACCGGAACTATT